ACTGCAGACCATTTGTTCTGAACAGTGCTTGCAGCCCCAGCCTTGACATTGGGGAAATCAGGAACACAGCAACAGGCTTCCTATGCCTGGATTTCCTGGAATCCAACTGCCAGAGCCTTGTGCCATCAGGAGTTAAACTTTTGTTTCTGTTCTCCTGGTGACTAATATGCACTGTGTGGCTCTGAGATCATCGAGAAAGAAACTGACAGTTGGCGTGGGAAGTATGTGAGATTTCTGTGCTCTTAAGATGCCTTTGATGGGCATGGTGAGCAAGCACAAGGATTATTGCCACCTAGTGCCCCCGATTGTGTCATTTTGCCATGAATTCTTATTTCTTCCTTTGGATTCTGTATGATTTTAAATCTGAAACTCCCTTAGTGCCTGATGCTATTGTGATGTGTGAGTTATTCTATGGTGAATGACATTTTAGATCCCACTTTGAAAAATAACCCATTTTGATTGAAAACAAAGCAGAAACCAACCAAACTGACCAAATCATACCTGATGTGTGTCAGGGAGACTCAGTCTTCCTCTTGATGTTTTCTTTTTTCTGAAAGGAGCTCAGCATAGCACTCCTGGCTTCTCTACACCCCCTCACGCCTCCCTGAGAAGTAGGAGGAGTTTAATATGATGATGGGTATAGAAGGAGAAACTGGGCTTCATATCATCCTCTCGTTTGTCTTCTGGGCACACGCTTTGCTCTGCAGAGTGGGCAGGGGAGGCCCTTTCTGGCCTAACTGACTGTCAAATTGACTCCGTGGCCAATTTGTCTGATCCTAAGGCTGAGTATTGGGAAGCTCATTTGTCTGACATTATAAGCCACATTCTCTAATATCAGCAATAAAGGTTATTTGGGTTCTCATTTAGCTTACTGCTCTCTTTGGTTCCATTCAAAACTTGCAGAGAAGGGAGGGGGGCTGCTATTTTTAGGCCTCCTCAAAGACCCCAACATACTTACTGGGAGACTTCCTGGTGATTACAAAAAAGCCTGTGTTGGGTGAGATCTGGCTTCTAGATCCACATCTTTACTTTCCAACAGAATTCCAGGCTCCTAAGCTGTCAAATGAGCAGAGGGGAATTTATAGAAGGTGTTCCTTTCAGCTGAAATGCATCCATTCTAAAGTTATTTATTGAATGCCAGGGGATACAATGGCGATGGAGAGTGACAGTCTTTGCTGTTGCAGTTTATAATCTAACCAGGGTGCATCCATTAGGATGTTTAATGTTACCAGTGAAATAAAACGATTTCAGACATGCTTAGGCACTAAAGGGAATTTCTTGGCTCATTGGCCATCCAGGCTCATGGACTTGGATTTGATTTTGATTCAGAACATGGACCCATTTCTTGGCTCTGCGCCTCTGGGTTGGACTCATTCTTTAGCCACCACATGATGCAAGTCCTCCTCTCTCCTGGCAGCTTCAAGCTTCCCACTTTGGCTGCAGCAGATCTAAGTCATGCCATTTGCCAGGCTGAGAAGAGTCCAAGTCCCAGAAATCCCTTCAAATTTTTGAGGCCTGCTCTGAGTAGACCATCTTAGGTCACAGGACATCCTAGGCCATCAGCTCAGTGTGATAGGA